GCGGCGGGGCTCGGGCTGGCGCTTCCCGGAGTTCATCCAGTACCTGCTGGACGTGCACCGGCCGGTGGGCATGGACATCCACTGGGACCACGTGAGCCGGCTGTGCAGCCCCTGCCTCATCGACTACGACTTCGTGGGCAAGTTCGAGAGCATGGAGGACGATGCCAACTTCTTCCTGAGCCTGATCCGCGCGCCGCGGAACCTGACCTTCCCCCGCTTCAAGGACCGGCACTCGCAGGAGGCGCGGACCACCACGAGGATCGCGCGCCAGTACTTCTCGCAGCTCTCGGCCCTGCAGCGGCAGCGCACCTACGACTTCTACTACATGGACTACCTGATGTTCAACTACTCCAAGCCCTTCGCGGACCTGTACTGAGGGCCGGGCTGCCCACTCCGCTGCGCGGGCGCCTCCCGCCCTCCGCTCCCTCCCCTGAGTGCAGAGGTACGAGAGGGGGTGGCAGGCCGATGCCATGGCTTTGGGTCAGGAGCAGAGACCCCCTGCCTTGGAGGGAGACCCCGGCCCTCGTCCTATACCTGCTTCCTCACTCCTTGGCCAGAGGTGCTGAGGCTCAGATGGACGCAGCGGGAGCTCAGCTGAGAGTTAGGATGACCAGGGACGCCTGTGGCCCAGAAGATGAGGGCCCCAGCGATAAGGGATTTCCAGCTAAGCACTCCCGTAGCCTTTGCCTTGTACCAAACCACACGGTTTGCAGCTTTTCTATGACCCAGGGGGGAGGTGCCCTTGGAATGAGGCTCCAAATAAAGCACATGGTTTCCAGGGCAGCGGTGTCCCGTCTGCGTGTGGGTAGGAGCATGGGCCCTGCCGCTCCTTCTCGAGTCCCCTCTGCCTCCCCAGGCCCACCTGAGCCCCACCTGCAGGCCCCATGCAGGAAGCCAGGGTAGGAGGGGTGGGAACAGCGGATGGAGCAACAGCCCTTCAGGCCCCTGAGGCCAAGGCTCAGCTGACTGGTCTTCCCATCTTGGAAAGGTGGGTGAAAAAAGATAAGCCTTCCCCGTGGAAGCCCACTGGAGTTGCTTTCTTAAATTATTTTATTTTATTTATTCATTCGTTTATTTTAATTTGACCAGTGAGAGACGCACAGAGAGAAGGAACGTGAGAAAACATGCCACCAGGTCCAGGACTCGAACCGCGGTTGACCATGTGGGAGTGCCCAGCACCTTAACCACCACGCCACCTGCTGGTCCCTGGAGTTCCTTCTTGTGGGTGCACCTTGCAGGGAGCCCTCTGAGGGCTTCCAGGGTGGTGGCGAGACCTGCATGCAAGCTGCTAATTGGGGCTGCCACTGGGGTCACTGGGGCGCTGCGTGGGGGTCTCAGTGTGATGCTGCAGTGGGGAATGACACTGTCCTTGGCTTTCTGCATCTCTGGGTTAAGCAGGGCTTTGGTTCAAAGCTGACATCCAGAGACTCCTGGCCCTGACCCTCACCCCTGTACCCATTTGCTAGACAAAACCACCTCAGGCTGCAGGATCACTCCCTGTACCCCTCCACCACCACTCCCCCCCCACACACACACACGCACACCATTTACCCAGCTCTGGGGAAAATGGAGGAGCATCTGTAGAGGAAACGATTCCAAAAGCACACACTTTCATACCAGAAATGGTTGTAAAATTATCAAAAGGCAGGGTGCTTCTGGAAAGATCTCGGAGGAAGTGTTGGTTGTCGCTTTGAGTGTGGGTGTGACTGCAGCTGTATTTGGGTTTTGTCTGTAACGGCGGGTGCTGCCTGGCTGTCTCTGGGCCTTGGCTCTGTCTGCTAGGATACCCTGCGTGCCTCGCGAGTCTTTCTGCGGGTCGCTCTGTGGCTCCCCCTGGGAGATTGCTCAGTCTGTTACCATTTGCTTGGGGAGGTGCTGCTGGATCCCAAGATGGAGGACCTTCTGGCTCCCAAGGTGGAGGGCCTTCTGGATTCTGAGGTGGAAGGCCTTCTGGACTCTGAGGTGGAAGGCCTGGCTCCCGAGGTGGAAGGCCTTCTGGATTCTGAGGTGGAAGGCCTTCTGGACTCTGAGGTGGAGGGCCTTCTGGATTCTGAGGTGGAAGGCCTTCTGGACTCTGAGGTGGAGGGCCTTCTGGATTCTGAGTTGAAGGCCCTTCTGGCTCCCGAGGTGGAAGGCCTTCTGGACTCTGAGGTGAAGGGCCTTCTGGACTCTGAGGTGGAAGGCCTTCTGGCTCCCGAGGTGGAGGGCCTTCTGGCTCCCGAGGTAGAAGGCCTTCTGGATTCTGAGGTGGAAGGCCTTCTGGACTCTGAGGTAGAAGGCCTTCTGGCTCCCGAGGTGGAAGGCCTTCTGGATTCTGAGGTGAAGGGCCTTCTGGACTCTGAGGTGGAAGGCCTTCTGGACCCCTACATGGAGGTGCTGCTGAATTTCAAGGTGAAGGTCCTTCTGAATCCCAATTAGGCTTGCCCTCCACAAGAGTGTGTGTGTGTCTGTGAGTGTGTGCATATGTGTGTGCCTGTGTGTGTGTGTTGGGTGTAGGAAAAGACACCTCCACTGGGGTCATTTCCCAGAGATGCCCAGGCCTGAGCTGAGCAGACACTCACACACATCCATCCGGGGAAGATCTTCGTTCCAGGTGTCGATGGGAGACCCAGGGTCCAGACGATGACCATAATCGCCCCGTGTGGGCTCCCAGCATGACCTCCAGCTGAGGGCCAGAGCCCTGCCTCAGGCCTCTCCTTGATTCTCTGAGGTATCTCCTAAACTGCCCCTGCCCCCAACCCCAGTCCCAAGCCTCATAGCTCTTAGGGAGAGTGGACCCAAGGCCAAGACCAACACAGGGAAGTTGTGTGTGTGTGTGTGTGTGTGTGTGTGTGTGTGTGCGCGTGTGCGCATGCGTGTGTGCATATGTATGTATCTGTGGATGTCTGGGTGTGGCATCTTAGTATGTGGGGGAGGATGTCCATGTGGAGGTGTCTGTGTGAATGCTATGGGAGTGGGCAGGTGTGAGCATGTGAGTTAGTATGTGTGTAGCTGTGTGGGTGTCTGGGCCTGTGCTGTGGGGCTGGGTGAGTGTGAGTGTGCGTGTGTCCGGGGTGAGGGCTGTGTGTACATGTGTATTTGTCTGGGGCCGGGACACTGTGGACAGAACCCCCCCCTGGGATTCTGGGGCTGTTCCCTACCTCGCCCTGCCTGGCCCCACCTGCTCACCATTTTTATAGGATGCAAAGAGCCATCCAATCAGGGACTCGGGAAGAGGCTGCAGGTAGCTCCCAGGGGTTAAGTAGGCCCAGCAAGTTGGGAGAATAAGCACCCAACTCCCAGGGCCCTCCTCCAGCCTGGTTCCCCAGATAGAACCACTCAGGAACCGCCCCCAGTAAGGTTCCCACTAGGCCTCTGCCCGAGAGTGACTAAGATCTCCCCAGCTGTGAGTTCTGCTCCGTGACTGGGGAACAGAGACATCCCAAAGCCTGGCTCCCTCCTGGGGCTTCCAAAGGCCTCGTGTCTCCTGGGGGACTAGACTGAGTCTAAACAGGTGGGAGGTGTGAGATTCAGGCAGCCCTTCCTCTGGGACGTAGCCAAGCCTTCCTCCTCCCAGAGCCTCCTCCCCTACTCCCCTTGAGGGACCAGGGCAGCCAGGCAGGGCTTAAGCAGAGAGACAGCCTCTCCAAACTCCTAGGCAATCTTACCCTGGAGGTGAGCCATCACGGTGGGGACAGGAGCCATGGAAATCCTGGAGTCCC